GTGCAAAACATGAACACATATCATACATATATCAGGTTTGAACATATAATCTCAAGAGCGAACAGTTCTGGCCACGTAAATATGTCTAAAATGATTATTTCAATATGTTACACAAAACGTGACAAATGTGTTATACCCGGTCTATGCAAGGGCGTAACACAGAATATGTATACAATATGAACGATATCTATAAATAGCGACGTTTGTGATAAATAATGCAATAGAAATTGTGCGGGTCTCGCTTTGCACTTGGCGTACGCGAGGAGAGAGAGGAGAGAGCGAAAGAGATCAGGGGCAGGGGCTGTGTGATGGGGTGGGCTATGGGGGAATGGCAGTTGTTCATCACAAGTTGTGACCAGCACAAATCACGAAAATCACGCAAAATGCACGCAAACAACGCCTCGCAGCGGGGGCGGGGGCGTGGGGCGTGAGGTCGCGGCTTTGGCTGTTTATTTATTTATTTATGAATGCGGCAAGCTATTTACGTATGTATGTGTGTGTGTGTATATGCAGTTATATGCTATACATAACGGCTGTTGTCGGTCGCCTGGCAATGATGGAGGCCGTAAAGACGTCAAGCACACATCTCCATATGCCCACAGCACACATACACACATGAGCAGCAATGTGTGTGTGTGTGTGTGTGTGTGTGTGGGCTCGACTGCACGATTAGCGCACAAGATGCATTTAGCTGCGAATATTGATACAATGCAACACTCTATCAATATGTACATAAAGATGTCTTGTAAATATTAAAAAGAAAAAGAGAAATAAACAAGGGAAAATTGCAATCTACGGCAAGTCGCAGACTTATTACCCTTTGGACATATATGACATTATTTGTTTGAATATATTACATTATATTACAAAAACTATATTATATTATATTGTATTGTGTCATAGATGCAGACATCCGATCCGCCTGAGGATCGAGAAAAAATATATATATTTCCTATGAGGAAGTCTTCTTTTATGCGTTACACATTCAGTGACAAAGTTGTTATACCCTCGACAAGTGTATGGACATACAGTTTTATGAAGCACACTCACATTACACATACGCCCCGTCTGCCAACGCCTGACACTAGGTTAAAGTTCAATGGAACGTGCGCTCAGTTCGGCTCTGCTCCATTATCTGACCGTCTGTGATTATGTGCGCCTGATAAAAATTCTGGTTTCTCCGATACTTTATGAATATATAGCATATATATTAGTTGCTGTAATTGACCGCAGCTTTAATTGGATTGATATTGAAACACCTGCCATTGATTCAGCTCTTTTTAAATCAGCGAAAATAATATATTTATTATTATTATTTATTATATACACAAAGAAATGGCAGCTGTTTCGTAAAGGGTGTATATTTATTTGTATAAAGCTGCTTTTCAATCGCAGGCCCAAAAAATGTATCGACCCGGCCAATTGGCAAAATTTTAATTGCCTTAATATCCGGCTGGCGTTGATCTGAACGTCAACATGCTGACTGACATCCGACAGCTGGTTAAATATTTATCAGGCAGTTGACGCTACTTTGACATTTTGCCAGCTAGGCCGCATAAAATATACATAATGCCAACAATTTTTGGATTTGGGTCGTGAAATTGAAATGTTTAACAACTCTTCAGCTTGAAAATCAAATATTAACAATTATTCTGCTTGCCGTACTGCATAAGGCCTAGTTAAATGTAGCTCCAAACAGCCATTTTGAGTTCTTAAATAAAATAATGAGAAATAGCTGTCAATATACGAAAACCGATGAAAAACATAGTTAGATTATGTTTCGCATTAAAAAATGTGGCAAGTGCCAGAGAGATTTGCTAGAGATGAAGGTTTTTGATTGATTGTATACTCTGGAAAATAGGTAAAAAGGGTATAATGTTGGTGTGCAAATGTATGTAACAGGCTGATCTTGAACTTGATCCATATCAATAGTCGAGTCGAGTCGAGTGCGGTCTCTGTCCATTCGACTTATAAATTATATTACAAAACTTAAAAAATTTGAAAGTCTGCTTAACAAAATATTACAAAATTAAAAAACTTTTTTTGTTTATAAGTATAAACAAAAGAATAGCTATTTTATTCTTCACAATTGTCAAAAGCAATTCATTTGCCTTAAACGTCTTTAATTCCGCTTTATTGTTTTTTTTTTTTTTGACAACAAACTCAAGTCTCTGGCAATGTTTATTTTCACATTGCACTCTCTGATAAATTAGTTAATTGCGTTAAAGCCCGCATTTCATTAGTTAATTATGTGCAAGCTGCAAATATAAATAATTGAGCCACAATAAAAGGTTATTTAAGACAGAAATAAATATTTATGAGAATTATGAAAACATGCAAATACAAGAAGAATATATATATATATATATGGCGATCTGAATAAAAAGTTCGTCACGAACGTAACCGAACCCAAATGTAGCTCATTTGTATGTGCTGCAAGGCTTTCAATTAGAAGCAGAAGCAGCAAACAGACTCAATTTCATATATTATAGTTTGATATCTTCGTTAATTTCTATACATATTATCTAGCTGGTGTCTCCTTCACTTAACGTGTCTGACATTTCCGCTGGCAGAGATATGGCCAAGGCGGCAATTGGGCTTTTGTCTATATGCGAGACACGTCGCCTCTTGCTGATTAATCTTTTTGACGAAATCTTTCATGGAGCATGCTCACATTTTCAGACATTGGGGTTTGGCACTTTTCTCAGATTTCTGGATTTATTTGTTTATGTTGTTTTGCGGCTTTTGCCTGCGGATGTTTTTGTGAACATGCTGCTCTCAAAATATTGTTTAATTTCGATTAAATTTATGGCCATTTGACGCAGAACAAGCGTCATAATTAATGCTGCTAGTTGGGGTCAAGACTTTAAACTCTGGCGAAGGTCGAGCTTGTTGTTCTAAAAGCAACAAAAGAGATTATCTTGCGATCTGAAAACTGCAAAAATAATACAAATAAATAAATACAAAGACGACAGCGTATCTTTCAATCAATGTTTAAACAATTATTTCAAATACAATAGAGGGGGAGCACTTGGGCAAAAACTCAGGCGCTTTGTTATTAACGCTGAGGTCAAATCGGGCGAAACGCACATCTGGCCATCCACGTGAGTGTGTGTTTGCCTTGAGAATGTCTTAATATGTGTGTAATGACTTTAAGATACATTTGTATCTTTTGCAGACACACAGCACCCTGTAAACGTATCGATTAATGACTTTCAGATACATTTGTATCTTTTGCAGACACACAGCACCCTGTAAACGTATCTGTTAATGATTTTAAGATATATTTGTATCTTTTACAGTCGCAGCACCCTGCAAATTCAACGACTAATGACTTAAAGATACATTTGTATCTTTTACAGCCGCAACACCCTGTAAACGTATCGATTGGGCGGACAAACAAAGCACACGGCGCAAAACAAAATACAATCTATGTAAACATGTCAGAATCCAACTCGTGTGTCCAATACTTAATGTATCTTGTGCATCGATCTTCTACTACTTCTTCTACTTCTTCGGTTTTTTTTTGTGTTTTTTGTTTTTCCGCTTGCTCTGCAACGAGTGATTAGACACACACAAGAGGCAGCGGCAAATGTTATGGCAGCAATAAAACCAGGTTACAAAATGCAGCCAGACACAACATAAAACTCGCAAACGGCACACTTAAAAATCAGCACAGAAGCGCGCAGAGAGAAATAACATCAATAAAACGCGAATGGAGGTAAAAAAAAGTGAGTCTGTCGATTGATAAAAAGTCTATTAAAAAGAATTATGTTATGCTTAGACTCCACTACAAAGAAAGTCCATGTCGCATATCCAGCAACTTTTCTAGCTTCGAGCCAATCCCAACTTCGATTCACGCACCAAAAGATACTTTTCGCTTGGGTTCAACAAAAATGTTGCAGCTTTCGATAAGGTTGCATCCGAAAACTTTTTAATTAATTTGCTTTTAAATTTTCAACAATAGACCAAGCAACTATGCAATTTCGGGCGAGATTTGTTTGTGACACATTTTAATGGCACAAAACAACTTATTTGCATTTTAAAAAGCTAAAAGTTGTAATTTAACAAGTTTTTTGATGCAAAGCATTTGATGGAAATCCAATTTATAAAATCATTTTGATTTTACTTAACCAGAAAGTTAGCTTAACAATAAATATTTTGCTATTTTTCATTTCGCTCTTTAATTAAAATTCCTTTGTTCACCTGGCTGAATGAATTTTACGTGCAATTTGCAATTGGCATATAAAATGTAATTAAAGCTGGCATTTGCCACTGTTGGCCATCGCAGCCAAGTTCTACTGTACCCAGTGACTAACTAACAACGCTTTTCAACTTCTGTGTTGGATTTGATGCTCATCTAATGTGGCTGCTCCCAAGCCCCAAGCCCCAAGCCCCGGACTGCGACTGCGGCTGCGACGGCGACGGAGACGGCGACTGCGACTGCGACTGAAGCGTGAAGCGCAGTTGCGTTTTCGTTACGTTTGGCTGAATGCGTAGCCAACGGCAGAGCAGGGCAGTCCAGAGACGACCACCCTCCCGGCCAATAAAAAAAAAAAAAGAAGTAGTAGTAGAAGCTTCACATATGAAGTTGTAAATATGTAGGAGCTGGCTGAAATAAACGAACCAGCCACTGCATAAAATTCCTCAGCTCGACACGCACACACACACACTAATAGAGAGAGGGAGCAGCTTCTGTGCCGCAATGTCTGGTGCTCAAACCGGGCAGGTGGCTAGCTGGGCGCGCGCACGCTTCTAGCCAGGCTGGTCGGGTCTGGCCTGGCCTGGTCTGGTCTGGTCTGGCCGGAACGCTTGACCGGCTGATGATGCGCGGCCTCGACTCGACTGACTGGCCAACAACTTGTGCACATATTGGCATATTTTCCGGTTCTAGGCAAGAAGAAAGTGCAGACAGACGCTGGCAGCCGCTATTCGCATAAATATTAAACGGCCATCAAATAATAATATAATAAATAATAATAATAATATGTCAAAATTACTTTGCTTGTTTTTTCTTGGCAGCTTTCCAGGGATTTCGCAATTTGTTGTTTATTTTATTTATTTATATTTTTTTGGCAATTTCACTTGTAGTGATTTTTAATTATTTATTTGTGCTTTAACTGTTTTTGGATTTTCCACTTTTCTGCGGCTAATGAAATTTTCATGTGCACGAGAGCACAATGAGGGCGCACCGTGTGTACACACACACACACAGACACAGACAGGCAGAACAACTCACACTCTGTTAAACACACAGACACACAGATAAACGCGACACGAGACAAAGTGTTTATTTAACTGTTTTTGTTTATTAGTTTGTTAGGCGGCAAAGTCAAGCGTATCAATGCGAAAGAAACGCGCAGCCGATGAGCACCATTAAAAGACTGAAACTGAACTGAAAGCAGAGCCGAATTCGTAGCCAATTGCAGCCTGAGAGATACACAAAAATGTTAACGGCAGCCCGGCATGTCTGTTAACATGCAAAGAGAGCATAGAGCCAACGCATCGCTCTGTTAACATAACATAGTCCCGTCTCTTAAGTGGGCTGTGCGCGTTGATTGACTGTTGATTTGTGGGCTTTCCATGGTGCGATTAATGACAAGAGCTCAGCGGATGGCCGCACAATATGTTAAGCTTGGCTGCGCCGACTTAGTTGGAGTTAATGTTGTTCTTGTTGTTGTTGCTGCTGTCGTTGTTGTTGTTGTATCTGTAACCACAGATTACAAAGCGCTAGAGGCGCAAAAATCTCACTGTGCGATCCAATTTTAGTTTTTAGTTATGCATCAAAAATGAACAACATACAATTTTAAATACATTTCGCATAACGAACCGGTATAAATCTATGGACAATCCGCTTAAGTAACATATATATAGAATATAACATATATCCTATTAACATATCCATAACATATAGTTTTTATAAAATTGAATTTAAAAAGCATCTGTGATTTAATTGACAGGCATTAATAATTTCGAAAATATCTTGATTTTATAATATATTTTGATATTTTACATTAAATGCATAATATGATATTAAATAAATAAATTAATTAATGAAAACTGATTTTACTTTCACTTTATTTGATGGACATTTTTTTTACATCTGACTTTCCAAATTTTAACTAAAATGCTCTTCAAAGATTATTCAATCAAATGTGCTCGAATAAAATAACTTGGGCCCCATACTTGTAGCTGTATTTGGGATCAAACTTGCAGAGAGTGATTACATTTCCTAGGTACATTTCTGGGGCACATTTCTTGGGTACATTTCTTTGCAACATAATTAGTAGTATCACAGACATCAGGCAATTAAAGCATCGTATCGAGCATTAGTCGTAGCTACGCCTACTCGCTGTGGCCCTTACAATGATAGCTCACTGTACGGGTATCCCATAGCGTTAAATGTCACGCTGTTGAGCATTGGCAATGGCCATGGCCATGCTTAGAATGCCAGAAACAAAAGGCGCCGCCAATGTGCAACAAAAAATAAAGCACAAATGCAAACCAAACGGGTCACGATTACAGTTGGAGCTGGAGTGTGTGTTTGGGCTGTTGGGCACAGCGGGGCGTTAGCAGCAGCAGCGCTGGCATGGGTCGTAACAGACGCTTAACAGTGCGAGAGCGGCAGCTGTTAAGCAACAGAAGCAGCCAGTTTGGGCACGCGACAATATCAATAACAAAATCAACTACTGACTGATAGATGGATGGTTTGATTTTCACAAATGTGACAGACGTCAGTCAAAACTGTCAGCGGCAGCATTTAAGAAAATCGATAGATAAATAGATACTTAAACATTGGCTTAAATCGTTGTTGTAGCCAGCTTTTGGCTTTAACTTTTAATGAGCCGCCGTTTTGCTCTGCCTGACATCTCATTCATTACGGCGCGTTTCTTTTTATACTTAGCATCTACTAATGTACACAGTATATATATATGTGTATAATTTTATACCTAAACTGTTGTAGCTCTTTGCTGTGCGCCTTTGCCATTAAGCATTAGCCACTTGGCATTTGCCATTGTTTCGAGGCACTGCGTTTAACTGGCAGCTAGCGTTCCCATTGTTGTTGCCATTCTCTTTTCGGCTCGCAACTAATCAAATATTAATGCGCTGGCATTTAAATAATGCAGTAGCTACTGTATTTTCACTTTTTTTTCCGGGCCCAAGCATATTGCATAAGCTAAGGAAAGTATTTTTGTGCGCTGCCCACGCGGCGTATGCGCAATTTTGATGTATTTAAATATTTAATGCCAAGTCAAGAGTCCAATTCGTTGACCCTTCCAGCCCTGCCCAGACACATCTTATGCTACCTCTGCTCCACAGCCTCACTTGGCTATTTGCTTGTGTGATTCTGAAGTTTAAAGAAGCATTGAACTTTTACAGCTGCCAAGTTCAAGAGTTCATCGCGGCCAGCAGCAGCATCTGTTGTTGTTTTTAGCCCAAAGTCAATGTTTTCTAATGTGCCTTGCAGTGCCTGCCGAGTGGGGTATATCTATTTTGAGCACACAGAATGGCACATATTGGAAAAATATGTCCATCAAAAATGGTAACAATAATAATAATATATACAATAATTAAAATATAGCTTAAAAGGACCAACAGATCTAGTCAATCGATGGCTTTGGTGTCAACTTGCCGATCCTCAGCCAAACAACTCAACGAAAATTAGTCAGCATTAAAGATGTAAATAAGAACTTAAAAGAAAATTTACCTCTTTATGCATCTGATTCAGGCTGTAGATCTCAGTTTCCTGGTGAAAATACACTGTTAAATGTTAACTCTGTTCGTTAACATAAATCTGTTAAATGTTAAATGTCTGTTAATCTTTGTTAATGCAAACACACTCATAGTTTAACATAGCTGGAGTATTTTTCCAGGGCATCTCTTAGTGCAGCAACTTGTTATCCTATCGCATACTTAGCATATTCTCATGCTTATGGCTCTTGTTGCGCTTTTATTGTGCGGCCAAGGCATTCGAACCCACAACTACGCTCTCCTTGGCTTGACTCAGCACGGCGCGTTCCCTTCCTTTGTGGCGTCTGCCATGTTGTTTTGGCCACTTGAAGGTTCCTTGACGCGACGTCTCCGATGCCACAGGACACAATGGGCAAAGTCGCTTTATGCGAGGCGTTCGCCTGTTGGCGCTGCCATTAATTCTATTTGGCCGTCTGCTCCTTTATGCTATCAATGGCCCGGCATGCCACGCCCTGCTCCCATTATCCCTTTCCAGCATAAAATTAGTAAAGCAGTCGCGACTTAGTCGGAATTTTTGTTGTATTCCTTGTCTCTTGTTTGCTTTTCCGAATATATTCTGGCATAATTAATGGTCAGTTCGTCAGCTCATCAGCTAAGCTAAGGGGCTGCGGGGAGGGGCTGTGGGGGGTGTGTCCGTCACGCATAATTATCTGCGATGCGATATTTGGCAAGTTTATCGGTCTGCGAATGCTTCAGGTAAATGTGTTCTTGGGGGAGTTGTCTACTAGTTAAAGTGCTTCGTTAAAATTAAATTAAATTATTTGTTATGCTCGAAACTTTGTATTAATTGTAAAAGGTGAAGAAATATTTCTGTGTTCAAATCTGTTGCAGATACATAGAAAATCTTATCTTGACCTTAAAACAGTTTTTGTTAATTTTATTATGTACGAATAAGTTGAATTGTATTTATTTATTAAAGTTGAATTAAAGTAGTTCTCTAATAACATTAAATTTAAAAATAAATCAAATGAATAATACAAAAAAAAAAAAAATAATATAACAATGTTTGATATATATCAAAATGCGTTTATTTTTCAAAACCGTTTTCCATTTTGTGAAAACAACGAGAAAGAAAGGCTATCTTCGGCACGCCGAAGATCTAATACCCTTGCAGACCTTGATGATTTTTTTGAGTATCTCGGCCAAATAATGCCCGATTAAATCACGCTTGGTCTACTTTTTGAACGACGACTTTTTTTTAATATATTAAATATTATTTATTTCAGGTAAATACAGTCACAACTTGACAAAAGGGAGGACAGAAGGAAAAAAGCTGGAAAAGACAAGCTTGGGCAACGCCGGATAATACCCGCTAAGTGTAGATACATGAAACAAAAACTAAATGTTCAAACGCTGCAAAACATAAACTTTTTTAAATAACTATATAAATAATAATTAAGCAATGAAAATAAGATATTATGAAACAAAATAAATATATTGAAAAATAAATCAATTCTGTTTTTTTGCTTGTGAGGAATTTTTTGGGCAGGTAAGGTGAGTAATTCGGGAGAGTCGACATAGCTTCGCTATGTAAAAAAACGTCTGATTTTCATTTTGAAAGAGATATGACGTTTCGAAACGACATAGCTCCGCCGAGATATTCTGTCGTTTTGAAGCGACATAGCTCCGCCGCGGAAGACAACTCACGGGTGATATGTCGTTTCAAAACGACATAACTCCGCGAAGAAAACGTGATGCAACTTGCAATTTTGTCGATATATATTATATAGTGGTCCGATCTTAATAGGATTTTGCATATATATGAGGAGCATAGTAAAACTAATAAATGCCAAGTTTGGTGAAGATATCTTGACAAACAAAATGTTTTTTCATACAAAAACTTAATTTTCGACCGATCGTTCCTATGGCAGCTATATGATATAGTGGTCCGATCTTAATAGGATTTTGCATACATATGAGGAGCATAGTAAAACTAATAAATGCCAAGTTTGGTGAAGATATCTTGATAAACAAAATGTTTTTTCATACAAAAACTTAATTTTCGACTGATCGTTCCTATGACAACTATATGATATAGTGGTCCGATCCAGCTGGTTTTGACATATGTGCTGCGTGCAACAGAAAGAGGAACTTCTGCAAAGTAACATTAAGATAGCTTTAAAACTGAGAGAGCTGTTGATGAGGATCAAGAATATATATACTTTATGGGGTCGGAGATGTCTCCTTGTATGCGTTACACATTTCACGACAAAATTATAATACCCTCTGCAAGGGTATAAAAAACGTAATGAATTTTATATAAATACGGCTAGGCTCTGCTAGCCTTTATCCATGTCTTAAATATTGGAATTCTGGATTGAAAACAGTTTGGTTCAGAATCAATTTCCAGTCTTTTACATTAGAATGTCACTGTTATTATATTATTGGAATTTATGTAACATATTAACATATCAATTTTTATGTTCTGTTTTAAGATGTTCAATAAGACGCTTTTAGATTTTTTACCAGTGCGAAACTTAATTTATTTTATTTGCTAAACCTTCAGTCGTATTACGTATGCTGTCACACATTTTGCTGTTATTTGCGGTTTCTTTAAGCTGTGCCATGCTAAAAAGACTCCACTTAAATCAAAAGTTTGTAACTTTATAATATAGGCAAGCCAAAACAAACATTGCTTGGGC